GCACCAAGAGCAGGATTTTTACATATTCGTGAGTTACTTTCGTGAAACTGTGAATAAGAAAACGCATCTGTACGCGCCATTAAAATCCCCCTTGGTGCAGGTGAATTCAATGTGTCTATTAATATTCTTACTCGTCTCTACAGTCACGGGGAAAACTAACGTATGAATCTGTAAGAATCTATTTTAAGTGAGCTGGTTAGATACATACAGTACACATCTCTTGAGCCAGGAGGGAGAGGGGGCATAACATTCAGGCCTTTAGGAGTCTTGACTGTAGGCCGTTCATCGTTCCTCCAGGGATCTCTATTCAACCTGTCCTCATCTTTTGTTGTTGCTGTGAGCCGCTCGTGAAGACCTTTACGAGGTACTGACTACCACCACTTACCTGATTGTTCCAAGATGGTGGGGAGGATCCTACACTCAAGCAGCTGCAGGAACTATTTTGGTTTAGTTTTTTGTTAGGCACACCGAGAATAGGTCATTGGCTGCGTTAAGTCCTATTTGAAATAAAGAAAAAAATCCCTCAATGACGAAAAGCACTTATCAGTCAGGTCAGGAAGGACGAGAATTGGGTGATAAAATGCAGGAATCATAATTGAGAGCCTTAAAAGTAATGTATCCTATACCCCTCCTCAGGCCATTTTTTTTTGTATCCCCAAGCAAGAACCTGTCATAGAGTACTAATCCACCTCACCTGGAATCATACCACAAACAACCTCATCCTCTTAGCAGGATTCGAACCCACAGCTCTCAGATGGTAAGCGAAGGCACAACCAACCAATAACTAAAAGAAAAGATCATTTGAATCTAAAACCTGCCAATGGGAACTGAACCCGAACTCCCATGCTAGTGTGTGTGTGTGCAGGAGATAGGTGTTACCCCCACGACACTCCTACCGCCCTCACCCGGGAAACAACAAGTAATTCACACTTATACATAGGGGAACTCCGCGGTATAAACACACCCAAACTCACACAATGACGGGAGGTGAACGCTCTTTAGTCACGCCATTGTGGGGTTGCCTTTGAAAACAATTCAGTGAGTCGACGGAAAGTTAGCCAGAGGAAACTAGATTTGTTACAGACAGGTGGAGGAGAGGACTGACAGGGTAGACGTGATGGTTTAAGACGGACAGTGATGGGTGCAGGGACGGACAAACGGACGGGTATATCCTCTGTCGTATTCTCGTCGGGGTAGGGAGGTAAAGTGACCTGTTGTTGTTGTGTGTTGTTTATGTATTTACGATTATGTAATGGAGAGAAGGGAAGATAAAGGTCAGACATAGAGAGAGAGAAAGATAATGAAAACGTGAGGAGACATAGATAGATAGATAGAGTGATTGATAGATAGATAGAGAGATAGATAGATAGAACAAAGATGAAATGGACAGTTATATAGAAAGCAAGAGAGACAGACAAACCTATGGAGAGAGAGAGAGAGAGAGAGAGAGAGAGAGAGAGAGAGAGAGAGATAATAGTAAACGAATATAAACTTGTAGGTGTGAGGCAGCGAGCGTGAACAGCAGATGTTGTCTTGGGTCCCTACACGGCTGGCTGACTGTCTGAATGGCTCCTTGACTGTCTCTTTGACTGGCTGGTTGTCTGACAGGTTGGTTGGATGGCTGACTGTCTGACTGACTGGTTGGATGACAGACTGGTTGATTGGATGGCTGAATGACTAGTTGACTGGCTGGATGGCGGGTTGACTGAGATGACGAGCTGACTGGCTCACTAACTGGATGACGGGCTGATTGACTACCTGGTATGGTTGCTCTACACACACACACACACACACACACACACGCTATATCTGATAAACCAAACCATTTTCCGCATCGAGTGAAGATTTTCCCTGTATAATCATGTTCATATACAAAAAAAGTGTGTGTGTGTGTGTGTGTGTGTGTGTGTGTGTGTGTGTGTGTGTGTGTGTGTGTGTGTGTGTGTGTGTGTGTGTGTGTGTGTGTGTTTTCTTTATAGGTATGAATATTATCCCTAATTCTCAAAATGTGACTCAGAGGAAAATATATAACAATTGAAAACAGTTTTGCTTCTAATTAACATCTAAGATATACCCCTAATTATTTGTTGATTTGCTTTGTGGTAATTTAATAATCCGCTGTAATATTTTTCCAAGTATGAGATTTTCCCAGAAGCAACAACTGTTCCGGGAGAGGAAATATCGAACCCTTGTCAAAAAACTGATGGTGGAAGGTTACTTGAGGTGGAAGGTTACTTGAGGTGGAAGGTTACTTGAGATGGAAGGTTACTGAGATGGAAGGTTACTTAAGGTGGAAGGTGACTTGAGGTGGAAGGTTACTTAAGGTGGAAGGTTACTTGAGGTGGAAGGTTACTTGAGGTGGAAGGTTACTTGAGATGGAAGGTTACTTGAGGTGGAAGGTTACTTAAAGTGGAAAGTTACTTAAGGTGGAAGGTTACTTAAAGTGGAAGGTTACTTAAGGTGGAAATGTTACTTGAGGTGGAAGGTTACTTAAAGTGGAAAGTTACTTAAGGTGGAAGGTTACTTAAGGTGGAAATGTTACTTAAGGTGGAAGGTTACTTAAGGTGGAAATGTTACTTGAGGTGGAAGGTTACTTAGTGACAGGTTAAGGTGTAGTAGTAATAGTAAAAAGTGAAAGGTCACACATCCCCTTTCTACAACAGTGTTTAAGGTATAACGCTGTGCAGGTGCTCTTCTTCTCTCTCTCTCTCCTGGCTCAAGAGATGTGTACTGTATGTATCCAACCAGCTCACTTAAAATAGATTCTTACAGATTCATACGTTAGTTTTCCCCGTGACTGTAGAGACGAGTAAGAATATTAATAGACACATTGAAGTCACGGCACCAACGTTCTACAGTAGTGCGTTGCTGAACAATGGAGAGAGAGAGAGAGAGAGAGAGAGAGAGTCTGTCTTGATTAGCCAAAGTATTCAGTGAAGATAAACTATTCCGTCCACTGCTGTGACTGTCTTTCCTGACCGAGTGACTGAGTGATTGGTGGGTTGACTGATTGATTTGGTTTACTGATTCATTGAAAGACTAATTGACTGACTGACCGACTGACTGAGAGAAGAATTTTCCAACATTCCCAGAAATAAGTCTTCCACTCCGGCCACCACGCTAGCCCCCCACTGCCCCCCACTCACGTGATCACTACACCTCGTGACTAACTCAGCTGATGGTTACTAATTGGTCACCTTTGTCTTAGTTACTAATGGAAGAAGCTGGGACCAGTTTGTTCTTCAGCTTAATTTAAAGCTTTTAAGGGTCTAATTCTTTTAACATTTTTATTTTATGCATACACTCTTATAAAGTCTTTTTAATGGTCTCATTCTTTAGGTAAATTTGAGATTTTGACACAAAGTCTTAATTTCAAGCTTTTTAGTACATCTTATTTAAGTCATATTTCTAAAGTCTGTCCTCAAATCTTATTTTTTAGACTTATAAAAGGTCACATTCCATAAGTCTTATTCCTAGACTTACCAAAGGTCACATTTCTCCCTTAATACCCGGAAATAATATATACTCTGGCCCCGTGACCTCACCAGTGAAGGCGTTTAGGATGACCAAAGTGGCCAGAATTATCCTTAATGACCGCCCTAACTATCGCTTATATCAACAAACGTCACTTATAAACACTTGGGGAAACTGTGTGTGTGTGTGTGTGTGTGTGTGAGGAGCAGAAAGAAAGGAGAGAAGAGAGAGGAAGGATGAGAAGACAAGAGGGGAAGGGAGAAGGATGAAGGAGGGGGGGTGGGGGGGACAGAAAGTATAGGGAGGAAGAGGAGAGGAAAGAGAGGTGAGGAGGAAGACCATGAAGATGTAAATATATAGAGATAGAAAATATTAAAATAAAAACACACTCAACCAAATAAAACACACTCAACCAAATAAAAAAAATAAAACACACTCAACCAAATAAAACACACTCAACCAAATAAAACACACTCAACCAAATAAAACACACTCAACCAAATAAAACACACTCAACCATTACGATATAAAATCTAAAAATTATCTCTACTTTTACCATGCTCGACAAACAAACAAACAATTACAACTACAACCCTACATAAGAATAACAACAACAAAAATGAATAAGTAAAAATAAGAAAACAAGAAAAACACAAACTTTTAGAAATCTCTCTGAAGTTTATAAAATTTTAGAGTGAAACATTTTGTGTGCTGGGAGGTGCTAGGGGGTGCTGGGAGGTGCTAGGGGGTGCTGGGAGGTGCTAGGAGGTGGTGAAGGAAGTGCTGGTAGGTGTTGGTGGGAGGTGGAATATGTAAATTTCTCGTAATGAAAAAGTTTTAGTTTAAAGAGAGGAAACTTGTTTTAACAGAATCATTACAACGCGTGGCGGGCAACTTGTCCTGGATTTGGGTGGGGGGTTAATTTATGTATGTATTCACTTTATTATTGGATCACCTGAAGATTAGACATCCCAGCTTATTTCACTTGAAGATTAGACATCCCAGCTTATTTCACTTGAAGATTAGACATCCCAGCTTATTTCATTTGAAGATTATTTTAGACATCCCAGCTTATTTGACCTGAAGATTAGACATCCCAGCTTATTTCACCTGAAGATTAGTAAGACATTCCAGCTTATTTCGCTGAAGATTAGAGTCAGACATCCCAGCTTATTTCACCTGAAGATTAGTTAGACATCTCAGCTTATTTCACCTGAGGATTAGACATTGTTCATTAGTAATAAAAAAAAATCTTAAATTCTCCCTTATCATCAAGCTTGACTATGCTTAACCAATACCAGGAAGATGGACCGTGCTTGAGATAAGGTGAGAGAGACTTACCAGTGTCAGCTGTACATAGGTGGGCCAGGCAGGGGTGATGTTTGTGATCTCAACATTTCACTAAATGTTTCCATAATAAACATTGAGTATTATAAACATTCGGTATAATAAACTTTCGGTGTAATAAACATTCGGTATTATAAACATTCGGTCTAGTAAACATTCGGTATAATAAAGATAAAACATTGACTCTTTCGTATCTTTATTGTAAGTACAAATAGTTGACCTTTCAGTCCACTCGCCACCTTCCACATATACACACAAGTTGGAGTATAAAACACACATTTACTGTTATGACATGTGACACGTGTGATGATACAGGCTTTAAAGGTATTAATTATTGGATATTTGATGACGTTGTTGTGTCTCGTTAATGTTGATTGTCTGTAGTCAATGACAGGTTTTATGTGAACCATCATGTTACTGAGTCGTTGTTTCTTCGTTGTATTAATTCTCTCTCACACACCATTAGTCTCTATAGTTTGTGCTGCTCCGAACAGAAAGTTTACATATAATACATCTCGTCCACAGAATTATAACACATATTAAATATATTACATGACAGTTAACTCTAACACACTGATAAACAGACACTCTTATGGTCGGAATGGAAATCACTATCAAATAAACACTGAAATAGATCATTAGCTTAGTTAATGTTTAGTAGAACCTGGATGATGACTCGAGTAATAGTTGCTGGAGGCATCACATTGTGCCCATCTCCTGACATTCTGTTGGAGGTAAACATAAGTTTTGAACTAACCAGAGACCGTTGTGTGGTTCTCTAAAGGACTATTTGGCGAGTTCTTTAACAAGATTCACATCACTTGAGCTCCCAGACCACTGTACTGGGTGTGTGTTAAAGTGTGTCATGTTCTGACATTGACTCTTATCTTTAACTACCAACAAGTGGTAATACTGTCCACTTGATGATTGTCATGAAACTTTGTACAACATTCACTTTCTTCCTTTAAGTGTCTGTACTAAATCCCTTTTCAAGGTTAACTTATGTTTTCAACTACCAATAAAAGTTATCACTAGTGTTTTTGTTCAAGTCTATTAACTGATTCTGTCCAAGACTTATTAGTATTTTGAACTATCCATAGATCATTGTACTGGCCACTTGTGTCAGTTTCACCACTTAGATGTATAACCGTTTCATTGGTTGTATATTTTGTCGAGCATTTTCTTCTTCAGTGATCACTTAAGATTGTTTTAATGCTATTTAAGTTATTTTTGCTTAACCTAAACACCGTTTCAGCGACTGCCTCACTGTTGACACCTTCTATACATACAGTACAGTTCGCTGCTCGAAACCGTTTTATTGTTTTTACACTTAATGTTGAGTTTCATTGTTTCGAGTATTCATATATACAGTACACAGTATAAATTACAACACTACCGAAATTGAAGCTTCGACTCCTGCTACATGTAGTGCTTCACAGCTTCATAACTGGAACCTCCAACACAGTCTTCGTAATCCCTTTATTTGGGTTTGTTTCTTGAGTATATTGTGTTCAGTAGCCCGTTATTAATGTTGCCAGGATCCTCCGCCGCATCTCTCCAGCGGCTGATCCCGTTACCTACGATAAACACTGTGTTACCCTCAAAATCTGCTGAGTGACCAAGGTGACACTCTGTATGTAGGTCACGGCAGTGTCCCTCACTGCTAAATTTATAATTATCTAGCTTAGAAAGATCGTTTTGGTCACTGTAGGGAAAAATATGATCGCTCAGGAGTCTTCTCTTGTCATTGCAGAGAGCGGCTTCATTGTTTAACAAGTCTTTGTGGTTGTGATAGAGAGAGACATTGTCATATGACAAGTTCCTCTGGTCGTTGAAGAGAGGTTGTCCAGGGTGAGTGAACCCGTCTTTATCATGATGGCTGTGGTGGTCATTCTGGTTATAAGGAGTGTGATGGTCGTCTGGTTGGTGGCAAGAAACGGCATCATCGTTCACCAGATGACAAGAGTCGTCTACGTGCTGGTGGTAAGAAGCGTGCACCAACTCCTGGTAATACGGAACGTAGTGATGGTGGTGAGTGTGATGAGGGGAGGGGGTTCTGGGGGGTTGTTGGTGGTGGGAGAGGTTGTCGCCATCATGTTGGTGGCAAGAAGCAAAGTCATCATCTCCTTCGTGACAGAGGCCGTGTTGGTGAGGGTTGGTTTGAGGCTTGAAGGTCTGGGTACTCTGGGTGCGGTATTGTTTGGCCTCGGGGGCGTCCTGGAGACAGGACCACGAGTGTCTACGACCCAGCACTGACAACGCTGACACCCAGCTGTCTGAGTTGATGTCTGGCGGAGAAAGTAAATAGCGATAATTTTTAATAAAAACAATGATTTTCTATTGAACACACACACACACACACACACACACACACACACACACACACACACCTGGAAATCCCGAGTCATGTGTAAGAATGCCTCACGTCCATTGGGTATAATATCAGTACCATCATCCTAAGTTGATCCCTTAAGTGTGATGGTTTTAGTGTCCATATATAATACATGACGTCATGGTACTCTAGAGTATAGTTATCATGATGGTCCTTGGTCAACACAGTGTACGAGTAGCTAGCAAATAATAATATTATTATTATTATTATTATTATTATTATTATTATTATTATTATTATTATTATTATATGATTAATGGTAACAATGGATGAAAATTATCTTGGTAAATACTAAGATTGTTTCAATACCAACATGATAGTTGAAAACCTGACTGTGGTGGGCTAGTCCCCGCAAAAAAAGTGAAGGTGTTATAATGAAGTTAACTGTTTAACTGAAGGTAAAGTACAAACATAAACGTCAATAAATGATATTAAAATTATGCTAAGACTTGACTTTAGTTATGTTTGTTAAGTAACTGTTCTGACACCTAGAGACAAATGTGCTGGGTAAGTGACGTAGTGGAGTCACCCCGGGCGTAAAAGATAAGTTCTACTCTCACCATTCGGGTCAAGGGTATGTTTGGGCTTTCTAGACCTGGAGGCGGCCCTGGCGGAGGCTGAGGAGGAGATGCGCTTTAGTCTTGAAGGGTGAAGGTGGTCCCCCAGCAGGTGGTGTACCCGGTACTGCTCACATGTAAACACTGGAATTGGCACCACCGCCAGCGCCTCCACACCTGGCTCGCCTGTTGAGGAGATGGAAGACTCTCGGTAAAGAATTTTCCTGCGGTGTTGGTCAGGATGTAGAGACAGGAATTATTGCCATCGCTGCCAGATCTCGTCCACCAGGTTAGGAAGGAGATAAACCTTATTATATACGAGTATATTATTATTGTCTATAGAGCACATCATCCCCAGCGTTTCCGGATGTCGCTATCAGCATTGTGAAATATACAAATCCCTTTAAAAATGTTTAAGTAGTACTAAGACGTAAACACTGGGATTGTCATCACTGCACGGGTTACAACATAACACTAACATGAAGAGAAAAGGCAGAGTTTATTTTACAATGCTCTTGACGTGTTGGAAACATGTAAACGTAAGAATTGGCACCACTGTCAAATGAATTTTCACCTGAACAAAAAAATCGATAACCTTAAGCAATTGCAAAAAAATGGCGGTGAATACGGTGACTCGGCGGCGCGGCTCACTTACCAACCAGTAACCAAACATCTCCCGATAATTGTGAAGGTTGATAAGGCTGTCAGGAGTGGGTGATGATCAGTGGCATAGATCATTACCACATAGTTCCTCCAAAACCAATTACCACTAACCTGTTCTGTTTATCATCACTATAAATGACAGAATTCATATCGACATCACCTCACCTCACCACACCTCACCTAACCTCACCTCACCTAACCTAACCTAACCTAACCTAATATGGTCTATCATTCAGTGTACTCTCCCAAGATCAAAAGTCTCCACCTTTGCGTAATGGTTGGTAATGACGTCAGACCACAAAGAATAAACAGACGATGTAATTATGGACGAAAATTATGAGGTGGTGTGACGTCAGAGCGTGGGAGTAGACTGTCGTTACGTAGAATATTTATACAGTAGTCCTCACAACACAGCGCCCAGAGTAGTTAATAGATCTGGCGAAGGAAGGTGGACCTCTAGGGTGACTTGACCTGCCAGGGGTGAGAGAGAGAGAGAGAGAGGTAGTGGTGGTGGTAGAGAGAGAGAGAATACGATCTTAAAAGTCATGTTTAGTAAATATTCTATAGGGTGTCTCGATGCCTTATTTTACTTTATGTTAGCACTGGCGAGTACACATAATGACCCTCACATCCGCGTGGGCATTACACGACTTCACATCCATGTGGCACATAATGACCCACACATCCATGGCACATAATGACCTACATCCGCGGCACATAATACCCACATGATCCACAAAGATAACAGACCATCCATGGGTATGAATAATCCACACATGCACATAATGACCTCCTGGCACATAATGACCCTCACATCCGCGGCACATAATGACCCACACATCCGCGGCACATAATGACCCTCACATCCGCGGCACATAATGACCCTCACATCCGCGGCACATAATGACCCTCACATCCGCGGCACATAATGACCCTCACATCCGCGGCACATAATGACCCACACATCCGCGGCTTGACGCTCCCTCTTACACTTACTATTAAATATTATCTGACTTATTTTTTCCACCTGTAGTCATACGCCTCTATGTATTTTTGTATAACTTATTACTGTGCGACCTTTTTTTTTATACACAATATATCGACCTGGTGTATTATTACCAACAGGTGTTTGTATGTGAGAGGTGTTTACTGTGCTTGTTATACTCTGTTCATGGTTAGTTAGTATACAGTCATTCATAAATGATTTGATGGTTGAATTTGAATCTTTTTTCTTGTCATTTGAGTTTTTATTTGTATATTTTAAAACGTGTTTGGTTGACTAGCTATTTTTTGTGGTTAATTTTAGCTTGGTTGATTTTTTGTTTTTTCTAATTAGTACACAGATTTTGGACAGATTATGTGATATATGTAGCGGATTATGTCGGGTAACAATACACCTGTGTTTTCATTGTCCCCCTACACAGGTGTTTGTATGTAAATCTCTCTCTCTCTCTCTCTCCCTCCCTCCCTCCCTCCCTCCCTCCCTCCTCCTCCTCCTCCTCCTCCTCCTTCTCCCTCCTCCTCCTCCTCCCTCCTCCTCCCTCCTCCCCCACGTTAAGCAAGTCACTGGACAATGATGAACCGACAGGTGAGGTACCATGACGTGTATTAATTACACATACACACGTACATACACACACACACACACATACACACACACATACAATTACACTAATTGGGGCGCGGCTCTCACCTCCTATAATTAAACACACACACCATTGTACTGACCTATTTAACCTCCTCGTCTGTTTACGTCCATTAGTTAAGGCTTGTGTAGCGGTTCCGTGAGTCTCCAGCTGTGTTGTGTTAATGGCCGCGTAAGAGTGGCTTCTATACTGCTGGCTCGGTGATGACTGTTCCCGGTAGTGTCGCGTCCAGGGAGTAATGAGCTGTCTTGTTGGTGATGGGTATTGATCACCTAACCTAACCTAACCTAACCTAACCTAACCTAACCTAACCTAAGCTAACCTAACCTAACCTGAAATAACCAAGTTTAACCCGTAAATAACTTAATCTAACCTAACCTAAAGTAACCTAACCTACCATAACCTAATCTAACTTAAACTAATCTAACCAAACTCTGTGTTTAACCTGAGCTAATTTAACATAACTTCTGAAATAACCTAACCACCTAACTCCACCCGGTAGCATTAGTGTGTTTAATCATCCAGTGCAGTAAAACTAGGGTGTCTTATCTTCACGTGATCCTATTATTTCTCCCTCTCCCCTCCCTCCTTACCCTTCCATCTCCCCTCCCCCTCTCTCCCCCCATCTCCCCTCTCCTCTTCCCCCTCCCCTTCGAGCGTGACAGACAACACTCACCCCAGTCTTCTTCCTTATCAGATAACAGTTGAAGATAAATGTTGTTCAGGTGATTTTTAACTTTTAATTCCCTACATTTTTGCATCAGTGTTGTGTTATGGCCGCATCTGTCTCACACACACACACACACACACACACACACGAGCGCGGGAGACGTATTATTCGCGTCCCAATAATGTTCTATACCACTCTTAATCTAATTTCATACGTGTCTCGGTCAGGTCTGCATGGTTTGCTAAAGCAGAACCTATAAAAGAATAATTAAACTATAACGCCTCGTAAGTGTCACCCGCGCTCTGCATAATCGGAGAAGTGACCCGTGAGGACACATCTTTACGTGCTACTCCAGGTCTCTGCATACGCACACACACAGCACATACCACTCTAATTCTAAGTTACGACACAAAGTTAAGAGGTAAAATATGTCGAAATTGCCCCACAACTACTGTAACTAGATGCATTTTCTGTCACTTGGTTAGGAGAAGAGGAGGTCTTGGGGATTCGGAGGGTGGGTGGATAGGGGTGTAGAGGGAGGGGAGGCGCCAGATAATAATGTAGGAATTTTTGAGAATTCAGAACCGGAAGTGGCAGTCGGATGGTGAGTTGTGGTTAAGTGAGAATCTAGAGACTAAAGAATACGTATGGACAACAAATGGAATACAAGCGAGATAGAGATATGCAATAATACAAGAGACAACAAGAGATTTTAGAGAGATATGACATGGGCAATATTATCAAGAGGCAAAGGAGAATAATATGAGAATCACAAAACCACCAAGAGACAACAAGAGAGATAATACTTAACAAAAGGCGAAAATAAAAAGATTTGTGACTTACTATGTAGGGGCGTGCCGTAGTTAACATTGTCACTGCAGCCAGTACTAGTCGGCGAGTCCTTGAAGATCTCCAAACACTGTATCTTGGCCTCTATGTCGCCTTCTTTAGCCTCCAGGACCTCTTTGGCCACAGCGGCAGGGATCTTAGGCTTCAGGTCCCCGTTGGTAGTGGCAGTGTCCTTGGTGGGTGAGGGTGGTGGTAGGGCGTCTCCTCCTCCTCTACCATCACCTTCTGCCTCCACCGCCACACCTTCCTTGAGACCTGGGTCGCCCTCACCTGCACCTAAAAGGAGTGTGGTCAAGAGGGTGTCAGTTTGGTCTCTTGATTGGTGTCGTAATGTTGGTTTGGGCTCACTAAACACACACACACACACACACACACACACACACACACACACACACACACACCTTTATAGGGCGTCTTGTATTGGATTTTCTCTGGGGGTTTAATCGTCTTGGACAGCTTCTTGTGTGAGCCGCCTCCGGGGTTCTGACACGAGCTCTCACGTCCCAGGAGCCTCGACCCCATTAGTGAGAACCGCATCCACTTCCAGGCACGTGTGGCGAACAGCTGTAGGGTAAGGGGGAACAGCTGTAGGTTAATGAAGGAACAGCTGTAGGGTAAAGGGCACCTGTAAGTTAAAGGGTATCTGTTGGGTAAAGAGGAACATCTGTAGTGAAAGGAGGAACATCTGTAGTATAAGGAGGAACATCTGTAGGGTAAGGAATGAACATCTGTAGGGTAAGGAATGAACATCTGTAGGGTAAGGAGGAACATCTGTAGGGTAAGGAATGAACATCTGTAGGGTAAGGAATGAACATCTGTAGGGTAAGGAGGAACATCTGTAGTATAAGGAGGAACATTTGTAGGGTAAGGAGGAACATTTGTAGGGTAAGGAGGAACATCTGTAGTATAAGGAGGAACATCTGTAGAGTAAGGAATGAACATGTGTAGTATAAGGAGGAACATCTGTAGGGTAGGAGGAACATCTGTAGGGTAAGGAGGAACATCTGTAGGGTAAGGAGGAACATCTGTAGTATAAGGAGGGAACATCTGTAGGGTAAGGAGGAACATCTGTAGGGTAGAGGAACATCTGTAGTATAAGGAGGAGGAACATCTGTAGGGTAAGGAGGAACATCTGTAGGGTAAGGAGGAACATCTGGGGGTAAGGAGGAACATCTGTAGTATAAGGAGGCATCTGTAGGGTAGGAGGAACATCTGTAGGGTGGGAGGAACATCTGTAGGGTAGGAATGAACATTGTAGTATAAGGAGGAACATCTGAGGGTAGGAGGACATCTGTAGGGTAAGAGGAACATCTGTAGGGTAGGGAGGAACATCGTAGTATAAGGAGGAACATCTGTAGGGTAGAGGAACATCTGTAGGGTGGAGGAACATCTGTAGTATAGGAGGAGGAACATCTGTAGGGTAGGAGGAACATCTGTAGTATAAGGAGGAACATCTGTAGGGTGGAGGAACATCTGTAGGGTAAGGAGGAACATCTGTAGGGTAAGGAGGAACATCTGTAGGGTGGAGGAACATCTGTGGGGTAAGGAGGAACATCTGTAGGGAGTAGGGAGGAACATCTGTAGGGTAAGGAGGAACATCTGTAGTATAAGGAGGAGGAACATCTGTAGGGTAGGAGGAACATCTGTAGGGTAGGGAGGAACATCTGTAGGGTAGGAGGAACATCTGTAGGGTAGGAGGAACATCTGGTATAAGGAGGAACATCTGTAGGGTAGGAGGAACATGTGTAAGGAGAAACATCTGTAGGTGAGGAACATCTGTAGGGTAGGAGGAACATCTGTGGGTAGGAGGAACATCTGTAGTATAAGGAGGAACATCTGTAGTGTAAGGAGGAACATCTGTAGTATAAGGAGAACATTTGTAGGGTAAGGAGGAACATCTGTTGGGTAAGGAGGAACATCTGTAGTATAAGGAGGAACATCTGTAGTATAAGGAGGAACATCTGTAGGGTAAGGAGGAACATCTGTTGGGTAAGGAGGAACATCTGTAGGGTAAGGAGGAACATCTGTAGTATAAGGAGGAACATCTGTAGTGTAAGGAGGAACATCTGTAGTATAAGGAGGAACATTTGTAGGGTAGGAGGAACATCTGTTGGGTAAGGAGGAACATTTGTAGGGTAAGGAGGAACATCTGTAGTATAAGGAGGAACATCTGTAGGGTAGGAGGAACATCTGTAGGTAAGGAGGAACATCTGTAGTGTAACATATATCATCTGTTTATTTTCCCCTTTTGACTGCCACCTCCTCAATAAACCGTTACTTATTATTATTATTATTATTATTATTATTATTATTATTATTATTATTATTATTATTATTATTATTATTATTATGTTACTGAACACCTGTATGGCGGTCGTGTCAGGTGCAGTGGGTTAGAAACTGCTAATTAAAAATACAGGTGTTATTATCTCCACCCACAACTCTCTCTCTCTCTCTCTCCCTCTCTCTCTCCTGCCACCACTACTTTATTCTGTGAGTTCAAAAATAAATCGGTGAGATTGGGAGTGAGGGTGGGGTGGGTGAGGCCTTTAAAGGTTACAGCCCGTGTTACTCCCTCTCTCTCTCTCTCTCTCCTGCCACCACTACTTTATTCTGTGAGTTCCAAAAATAAATCGGTGAGGATTGGGATGTGTGAGGGTGGGGTGGGTGAGGCCTTTAAAGGTTACAGCCCGTTGTTCTTCTCTCTCTCTCTCTGTTTTTAGATTTTGTTTTCATTTATCTCTATTATTTTCCTGTTCCTTTATTTCTCCCTCCCTCCCCCCCCCTCCCTCCTTCCTCTCCCCCCCCCCCCTCTCTCCCCCACATTCTTCCCCACCCTCACCCAATTTATTTCTCCTCTCCTTCCTCCTTCTATCTTTCTCCATTCTACTCCCCCCAGCCCCCTCCTCCCCCTCCCTCCTCCCTCCCTCCTCCCTCCCTCCTTATCTCCCTACCTCCTCCCTCCCTCCGTATAAACTGTTTTGGGATCACTCACAGGTGTTTGGTAAACAACGTATATGAAGAACATCTTGACCCCATTAAAGTGTCTACCCACTCACCCCACCCCACCCCCACCCACCCACCCACCCCACTCACCCACCCACCCCACTTCTCATTAAACCCACTCTGTATATCAAAGTGCTTCACCTGTGGTTTAGGTATCAATCTACTATAGTTGTTCTTGTTGCTGTTATTGTTTTTGTTGTTTGTGTTGTTTTTATGGTTGTTGTTGTTGTTGTTGATATTATTATTATTATTATTATTATTATTATTATTATTATTATTATTATTATTATCAGTTATTATTTGTTATTGTTATTATTTTTCATTGTTATTTGTTATCATTAATATGAACGTATTTCTGACCCTCTCTAATGATCTCTAAGTAAAGATGAAATTAGCGTTTAAGACTTAATTACCTGTTATATGTAGAATGAACCATTAAGATCCTAAAAACCTGATGAGTTCACTAATTATCTTAAATAAATAATGAACACCATTGTACTCTCTTGAACGGTTTTAATACTGTGAACGTTACGAACTCGTGAATATCTTTGGAACATTTGTGAACGTCATTTGAACGCCTACGATCGTTGTAAACGCCTAGAAATACCCAGAACTTTTTTGAACACCTCTAAATACCCCAGACACCTATGTATTACCTTGAACGCGTGTGAACACTCCTGAACTCCATCTGAATGCCTCTAAGCACCCCTTGAACGCCCAAAATTAACGGTGAACGCCTCTGAACTCCCCTTGAACACCCACAATTTACGATGAACGCCTCTGAACTCCCCTGAACGCCTCTAAGCACCCCTTGAACGCCCATAATTAACGGTGAACGCCTCTGAACTCCCCTGAGCGACTTCCGTAAAACTCACCTTCCTGCAGATGATGTAGGCCCAGGGGTCGACGATCTGGTTAATGGAGGTGAGACGGACGGCGATCAGGTCCTGCATGTGTTCAGCCCGAGTACTATGTGGCCACAGCTGGTTCAGGAAGAGTCGTATCTGAAGGAGGAAGGAGGAGGAGTCTTGTTAGAGGAGAGGAGGGGGAGAAGAGGGGCGTGTTTACATCGATAATTTTATGAGTGAGTCACTTATGTCAATGGTGAGTGAGTGAGTAAGTACTTACATCAAGTGGCGTCCAGGAGATGAGGAGAACGATGGTGATGACGAGGAGGACGATGACCATTTGCATCTCCAGCTCCCTCTGTCTGTAGGTGCGGTGAGGTGCACAGAAGCTGGTCCCCGAGCACCTGTGACGACATAGCCGGAGACACAGAAGGGTGGCTGTGTGGAGGGAACACTGTGTCACTCTCTGTTGTGTAACCACTTAAGGTAGTGTTGTGAGCACATGAAACACTAAGGGTAGTGTTGTGACAACATGACACACTTGGTAGTGTTGTACAGAGCACGCAACACACTAAGGTAATGTTGTGACAACATGACACACTAAGTGTAGTGTTGTGACAACATGACACTAAGTATGGTGTTGAGCACATGACACACTAAGGGTAGTGTTGTGACAACATGACACACTAAGGGTAGTGTTGTGACAACATGACACACTTAAGGTAGTGTTGTGAGCACATGAAACACTAAGGGTAGTGTTGTGACAACATGACACACTTAAGGTAGTGTTGTGAGCACATGACACACTAAGGGTAGTGTTGTGACAACATGACACACTAAGGGTAGTGTTGTGACAACATGACACACTAAGTGTAGTGTTGTGACAACATGACACACTAAGTGTAGTGTTGTGAGCACATGACACACTAAGGGTAGTGTTGTGACAACATGACACACTAAGGGTAGTGTTGTGACAACATGACACACTTAAGGTAGTGTTGTGACAACATGACACACTTAAGGTAGTGTTGTGACAACATGACACACCAAGTGTAGTGTTGTGAGCCCATGACACACTAAGGGTAGTGTTGTGACAACATGACACACTAAGTGTAGTGTTGTGAGCCCATGACACACCAAGTGTAGTGTTGTGACAACATGACACACTAAGTGTAGTGTTGTGAGCCCATGACACACAAAGTGTAGTGTTGTGACAACATGACACGCTAAGTGTAGTGTTGTTAGCGCATGACACACTAAGTGTAGTGTTGTGACAACATGATACACTAAGTATAGTGTTGAAAGCACATGACACACTAAGTGTAGTGTTCTGCGCACAAGACACACTGAGCAGAGTGTTGTGAGCACATGACACACAAAGTGTAGTGTTGTGACAACATGACACACTAAGTGTAGTGTTGTGACAACATGATACACTAAGTGTAGTGTTGAAAGCACATGACACACTAAGTGTAGTGTTCTGAGCACAAGACACACTGAGCAGAGTGTTGTGAGCACATGACACACTAAGTGGAGTGTTGTGACCACATGACACACTAAGTATAGTTTTGCGAGCAGATGCCACACCAAAAAGTATTGTTGTGAGCTTACCACACATCAATAGTATTGTTGTGAGCTTACCACACATCAATAGTATTGTTGTGAGCTTACCACACACCAAGAGTAGTGTTGTGAGCTTACCACACACCAATAGTAGTGTTGTGAGCTTACCACACACCATGAGTAGTGTTGTGAGCTTACCACACACCATGAGTAGTGTTGTGAGCTTACCACACACCAAGAGTAGTGTTGTGAGCTTACCACACACCAATAGTAGTGTTGTGAGCTTACCACACACCATGAGTAGTGTGTGAGTGAGCTTACCACACACCATGAGTAGTGTTGTGAGCTTACCACACACCAAGAGTAGTGTTGTGAGCTTACCACACACCAATAGTAGTGTTGTGAGCTTACCACACACCATGAGTAGTGTTGTGAGCTTACCACACACCAAGAGTAGTGTTGTGAGCTTACCACACACCAAGAGTAGTGTTGTGAGCTTACCACACACCAATAGTAGTGTTGTGAGCTTACCACACACCAATAGTAGTGTTGTGAGCTTACCACACACCAAGAGTAGTGTCGTGAGCTTACCACACACCAAGAGTAGTGTTGTGAGCTTACCACACACCAAGAGTAGTGTCGTGAGCTTAAAAGTCACTGAGTTAGAGTTGAGAGCTTACGGTACAGGCGACAGACTCAGCTGAAAGGTGGTGCAGCGTTCATGGGTTAACAGAAATAAATTAGTAATCGTTCACTGTTGTTCACTGTCATTACGTCACCACACAGTAGGGGGACACATGTATAACAACCATCTCTCACAGTCAGCTGATCAGACGAACTGTAAGCTTTGCCATGACTTATAATATACAAGTAAATAATACTGTATATTTGTATTGGCTCAGGCGTCATCTCCCTGTATATGTCAGCTGATCAATGCTGGAGGGTGTCCTATGTGTTTCTAAACACCGCCCCCCCCTCCCTTCTTCCACCCACTACTAAAATTCTTCTTTTTTTGTCGTTGAGAGCGCTAGTTTGTGTCCTGGTATTCTTGTTTAATCAATTGTTTCATGTCGACCATATACAACCTGTGGTATATACTTTAAGTCGCAGGTGAGGACGAATATAAGAGCCTCGACGAATCTTGTGTCGTAACCTCACAGGACTGTGTAAAGATGTGGCAGACGCGATAGTATATATACACACATGCTTGGCAAGAGACAAATTGTGGCATTGGTTAACAGACTGACAATAACACACACACACACACACACACACAAAATATACCATAAATGCACATTCCATTCAAGCACACATACAATAAACACAAACACGAACATACATACATACATACATACATACATACATAGAAACTAGATGCATTCATATATACAAAAACTTAATCTAATCACATGCAGGCACATGCATATACAAACTGCACATATGCAGAAAATGTAATCACAGGCACACAGCTTCATCAATACTGTTTCCACACACACACATACACACACTCACACACACAGTCATTAACACAAGAATTAAGATTTAACTGATGAAATGGGCTTCCAGGGCTGATAGACCACATTCAGACCAGTGCTGGCGGCTCAATGGCGGGAAACACCGACAATAGACAGACCGACCGCAGGATATACACAGGCACAGGCAGTACTAGGAAGTGGCAAGCGCAAGCACAAGATAAAAGCAAACACAATAATGAAATTATTCATTCACGAACAAATAGAACACGCAAACCAGATTAACAAACACGGATATAAAGCAAACAAACGAACAGGAAAGCTGAAAAACCATGCCCAATTATTCTTAAACAAAAATCAGTGGATAAAAATTCAAATTTCAAATCGTGAAAAACGATGTATCACTCTCAGCGGGGTTTGTCGTCCTGTAGCCAAAACACTGGCTATTTTCATTTGTCCAGAGGCAAGCTGAGGCCGCATACAAGCGACACAGGGAGGAGCTAATATTCAGGATTTTCACGACGAGCAGTTCAAGAGGGAGGGAATCAAGGAGCCGCTCTGGCATACGTATTGAGGGTCATTGAGTCGATGGGACGCACACTACAGCGACTCGTACAGGGAGAGTGAACTTAACTGTGCTTTTGAGATTGACCAGAGTAAAACAAATTGCTATTCCCATTTAAACGAAGATGTGGATTAGGAAGCAATTTCAACCTCCTTTACATATCTGTTCGCTGAGGTCCTCATGAAAACCCTGAATATTTGATGTTAGGGAGAGGTGAGGGCGGAGAGAAGCCAACATGCCCTTAACGTCACCATAAGAACACATAGATGACTCGGACTGGTCCTTACCTTCACAAAGGTTAGTTCTCCGAGAAAGGGTTTTCTCCAGTAAGACAACTGCGTGGTAAAGATTTGGACCATTAGAGTCATTACCCCTTAACTTCGCTCATAAGAATATCTAACTCATTAACCCCTTAAGTGAGATGTACTGTATCATGTTACTTCAAGTACAGTATATGTTTTGTAAGTAAGACGTGTTTATGTTATTTTAGTCTTAAGTAAGATGACACATTGAGGTCACATACTGTGTTACTTCCTGGACTAAGTTGCCATAAAGCACATACAGTACACTCAAGGGGTTAAGTCATTGTCTTCAGGAGGTGACATTAAACGTGTTCTAAATTAAGGCTTTTAAAACTAAAACACATAGCTATTGTTAGAAAAACTATTATGTCAACAAGTTAATAACATGACAACTGCAATAATGTCTACATCAACTGAGGCACCACCTGACGTGAAGGAAATAGTTGTGATATTACGACACAGAGACATGCAACCTTTTATCTGGTAGTGTTTATATTTTTACAGGGAGTAGAAGTAATACGATGGTGTGGGGGAATTTATCGCAGTCTACGAATGTTTAAGAATCCATATTTTGTGACGTAGCTAAAATGAACCAGTTGGATGTGTCTTAGGTAAAGTAAGCAAGGTAGATATTTTTCTTTTATATCTCCAATGAAAAGGGTGGGAATATATACATGGCTGGCTATATACATGGATAATTATATACATGACTGACTATATACCGAGCTGAATATATATGACTGACTATAAGTAGCAGAGTATATACATTTGGGTTACTATATAATACACACACACACACACACACACACACACACACACACACACACACACACACACACAAAGGATTTAAAACCATTCCAATCGATGACAAAGTATTGAACAAAACAATCGAATTACTCACTATATTTCACCCCTGACATAATTACGACTTTGTTTCAATATCAATAGTTTAACCCTGACGATACTTTATGCCTCTATCGCCATAAAACTTAATAAATGAGACAAGAACAAGAGAAAGGACTTGAAATCTATTTATTATTATACTTCGTCTTCCAAACTTTACTCTAAACTTTGACTGTGGTATTTATTTATTTATTTATTTATTTATTATTTATTTATTTGTTGGTCATCTTCTCACCAGGGGCGCCTCATACAGAGTGTCCCAGAAACAAAAAATATCCACACTGCAATACTAATTTTCATGGAAACCCCACGATTGCTTGTGTAATAAAAGAGACATTGTCCTCACTCATGGGAGACCTGCCACATCAACAGGTAAGGGCAGTGGGGCTGGTGTAGTCATTCACTCAAGAGATTTCCAGGAACAATCTATTAAAGGTAGAGGGGGGAGACAATTTTTCTGAGGCACCCTGTGTAATGTGTGTGGTCTTAAGGCTGGCACAATATAGAGAGACGTGTCGATAATATGGAAATTTTAAAGATATTCTGTGATATTTACGACTCAAAAAAACCTGCAGTCTACCGGAAAGTGTTTTTAATATTTCACTCTGAGGGGGGAGAGAGAGAGAGAGAGAGAGAGAGAGAGAGAGAGAGAGAGAACTGAATAGCTGAAAGACATTCATACAAATAGACAACCATGATGACAGACAAACAGACAGACAGACAAACATAAACTAACTATAAACACTGTTTGGTCGTCCTCAGAGATAAATTATCGATTCGCTTACCCAGTATGTTTACTTTTTCAGTATTATTGTTACTCTGATGACATTGAAATAATTTACGATTATTATTATTATTATTATTATTATTATTATTATTATTATTATTATTATTATTATTGTTCATGTTATTATTAAAACAAACTTGAACACATGTAAAACAAACACCACTTTCCACCTTTGTCTTTTACCTAATTATCACCGAATTCTTGTTGCCATGAAACATTGCAAACAGTTCTGTGAGAATTTATATATATGTACTTCTGTGAACGACCAACACTTTCAAGGAGAATTTCTGGGAATAAAACAAAGGGAATTAATGGTTTATCATACACCTGATCCAGCATTAGGCAGTGGTGGCATTTTCTGCTAGTGTCAGCTGAACCCCCTACTGAAATGCTGGACTATATGGCGCCAGAATGAGCTGTCAAGATCCTTTTACCTTCTGAGAGTAATGAGTGGGTCGTGAATTTAGGTAATTTTCGTAAAGTTCATGATAATAATGATGATAATAATAATAGTGGTACAACCGTCTTACACCTTATTATAAGCTAATCACTTTCTAGTTCTTTGTCTCACACACACACACACACACACACACACACACACACACACACACACACGTTGCAGAATGACATATTTTTATATTGATTTATGTTAAAAAGTTGTTTGATTCTGAATTAGACTTTGAAATTGAATTAGAATCTTATTAATGCCTACCATGATGAGGAAGGAGACGAGAGTGAGTTAACAAAATACTGAAGAAGCGAAACAAAATGTACGAAAGAGGTTTAATGATCTTTTTTTTTCTTATTTTATTTTCAAGTTAAGTTTAAAGTTTATTGATAATGACTATGTTGAAGGAAATTATAAATGTATCTGAGGATTTTATCTTTATTATCAGTTTAGAATTTTTTGGGTGGGCATTTTTAATCTCACTTGGATATTGAAGTTGAATTAGATACTTATTGATGGCACTGAGATTTTTGTTATTCTAAATTTGACTTTGAAGTTGAATTAGAAGTGGAGTGTTGAGGAAGAAGGACTCTCTATGAGCCTATACCTGTACTGTTGTTCCTAGATGTATATAATTTTAGACATTGAATTTGAAAATTATGAGAAGTTTTTTAATTAGAAGTTGCTTTTGACGCTTGATGATGATGATGATGATGATGATGATGATGATGATGATGGTGGTAGTGCTGGTGGTGGTGGTGGTGGTAATGATGATGATGATGATGATGGTTGTGGTGGTGGTGTGATGATAATGATGATGGTTGTGGTGGTCTTGTGATGATGATGCTGTCAATAGAATGTCATCAATGAAATACGTGTGCCCCGATATTGGTACTTGAGAATTTATCTTTATTGAATAATAAGGGCGAGACTTTTTATTTTGAATTTGACTTTGAAATTGAATTAGATTTTTTATTGATTAACTACCATGTGGCAAACGACCCTAATTGGGACTACGATCATATTCCAACTCTTTAAATATTGTGTAATAATTGTTTTTAAGGATAATTTGGGGATTTTTTCAGGGGATTTTTTTAGAGAGAATTTTGGGGGGATTTTTTCTTTATGGGAATGAATCAGTGTAGTTTGACTTTGAAGTTCAATTAGAATGGAATGCTTACTGATGACGATGATGTTGCACACGACCATGACGAGTAGGTTAGCGATGGTGAAGATACCGAAGACGTTGGTGTAGATGCGGTAGGTGATGGGCGAGGTGCTGTTGACGTGGATGTTGACGAAACACCACGACCCCGGGTACTGCATCGCGTACTGACCCGCCCCGAACAGCGGCATCGCGCAGAACAGCACCGAGAACAGCCATATGCCCAGTAGCAGCAGTCTGTGGGTGGTGGAGAACGGCAGAACAATAATCATGCTCAATAACAGCATAGAACACCAACATACAACGTAACTCAACATATACCAACATACACTGACAGACACCAAGACACCAACATACACCAAGACACCAACATACACTAAGACACCAACATACACCAAGACACCAACATACACTAAGACACCAACATACACCAAGACACCAACATACACCAAGACACCAACATAGACCAGACACCAACATACACCAAGACACCAACATACACTAAGACACCAACATACACTAAGACACCAACATACACCAAGACACCAACATACAGACACCAAGACACCAACATACACCCAAGACACCAACATACACTAAGAGACACCAAGCACCAAATACATTCAGAACACCAACATACACTAAGACACCAACATACACCAAGACACCAACATACACTAAGACACCAACATACACCAAGACACCAACAGACACCAACACCAACATAGACCAAAGACACCAACAGCACCAAGACACCAACATACACTAAGACACCAACACATACACCAAAGACAGTACACACACACCAAGACACCAAGACACCAACATACACTAAGACAACATACACACACCAAGACACCCAACATACACCAACATAGACACCAACATACACACCAACACACCAACACTACCAAGACACCCAACATACACTAGAGACACACAAGACACTAACATACACCAGACACCAACATACTAAGACGCAACATACACTAAGACACCAACATACACCAAGACAACCACCAAGACACCAACACCCAAGACACCAACATACACCAAGACACCAACTTATACACTAAGGAACCAACATACACCAAGACACCAACATACACCAAGACACCAACATACACTAAAGACACCCAACATACACCAAGACACCAACATACACACCAGAGACACCAACATACACTAAGACACCAACATACACCAAGACACCAACATACACTAAGACACCAACATACACCAAAGACACCAACATACACCAAGACACACAAAGACACCAACACACTAAGACCAACATACAAAGACACCAACATACACCAAGACACCAACATACACCAAGACACCAACATACACTAAGACACCAACATACACCAAGACACCAACATACACCAAGACACCAACATACACTAAGACACCAACTACACCAAGACACCAACATACACTAAGACACCAACATACACCAAGACACCAACATACACTAAGACACCAACATACACCAAAGACACCAACATACCTAAGACACCAACATACACCAAGACACCAACATACACTAAGACACCAACATACACCCCATACACTAAGATACCAACATACACCAAGACACCAACATACACCAAGACACCAACATACAACGTAACTCAACATATACCAACATACACTGACAGACACCAAGACACCAACATACACCAAGACACCAACATACACCAAGACACCAACATACAACGTAACTCAACATATACCAAGACATCAACATACACCAAGACACCAACATACACCAAGACACCAACATACACCAAGACACCAACATACATCGTAACTCAACATATACCAAGACACCAACATACACCAAGACACCAACATACATCGTAACTCAACATATACCAAGACACCAACATACACCATCATACATCATACCAAGGCTGGGAGCCAGCATATGCAACAGAACCTCTGGCCTAGGTCGGTCAAGTGGGAGGCATCAGGACATGACAGAAGCGACCTTCTCATGTCAGCTGTGTTATGTAGGGTCAAGTGTCATGTCACTTGACAATCAAGTGTTGTAACACATTATATGAGGCAGCGCCATGCACCTGTTTTAAGGTCACGAGTGTTGTGCTATTTCTGCCGTGTTAATTATGACTCGTGTACAATTTTAGGTCAATTTTATATTTATTATTATCACGCCAGCGGGATCGCGTGTGGAGGACGGTCAGTGCCGACTTTATCTAATTAAAGGACTGAATTAATGTGTCAACAACTCAAGCGCGAAACTATATATATATGTATATATGTTTTTAGTGCCATAATGAAGGTAATTCTAGAGCGTATAAGGACCTTATAGTTCTTGAAACACTGTAATATATGAGAACATTAACATGTCTCTATATTTAAACCTATTTAATGAAGGTATACAAGCCATCAAGTGTGAAGAGTGCGTGGAGGACCAGGGACACGAAGGCTTCTGCTGGGAACGGTTTAATTTGTTTAAAGGAAAAATAAACGAGGGAACCAGCGAGCGACCTTGTGGACCCCACATGATGAATATTTGGTAACATTGTGAAGGTTCTGTTGCATAGTTTACCCGTATTGCACCGTTTAGTGTGTGAGAGGAAGAGGGCGCTATTGAGGAAGAGAGGGAGAGAGAAATAGGAAACGTGAGGGAGAGAATAAGGAAGAATATATCTCATTTATAGTAATGTTATACAAACACACGCCACACTTCGCCTTCATCCGTGAGGTGCCCGACAGGTTATGATTATCATTGTTTATGTTTAGTATCGACCTCCTATCAGGAACACTCTACCATGAGCGGCATTACCTGACGTGGGTTATAATTTCCATCATGCTGTTTATTAGTTACCCGAACAAACCAGTAATTTAACAAAGGAGTGAGACAGACAGACAATCAGACTGAAAACAAATTAAGATGGAATGTCCGATATAAAAAAAGACATTTGCCTTTCATATCGCCATCATAATTGACTTTATTTTATGAAACGAAAATTGTTCTGAGAAATTGTGGGGCCACGTCACCATCTGGTTAGTTATTAATATGGGAAGCAATGTTGTAGTGTGTGTGTGTTGAAGGGCGCGGCAGGGAGGTGATGTACACGGCGCCTGAAAATATAACACTGTCCGCCACAACACTCTGACCTAGAACACGTAGTATATGCTTTTTCCCTCCCTCCCTTCCTACCTCCCTCCCTCTCTTCCCCCTTTCCTGTTTGTTTCTTTCTCCTTCCCTCCCTACTTTCCTCCTTCCTCTCCTTACCCCCCCTCTCCAGCGTATTTCCTTTCTTCCTTCCTTCCCTAACTCCCTAACACCTTTCACTCCTTACTTCCTGTATTATTTCTTCCCTCACTCCTTAACCCTCCTCTTTTCTCCGCCCCCGCCCACCTTCTCTCTCTCTCTCTCTCTCTCTCTCCACCAGTGAAACTATCCATTACACACACGCACGAGAAAAAAACCCACAACATATTACACTCATACATAGACTGGACAGGAAAATCATTGTTTACCTGGGCATTTCTAGGAATTACTTGTAGCAGTTTAAGCTGACTCCCTCCCTCCGCCCCTTCGACAACACTTAAGTTGCCCCTCTAGTCTGTTATTCTATCCACGAACGGGTTTGTGGGATGTTAAGGAACCGCATGGGTTATGGTAGGCGTGTCCGTGTGTTTGTGTGTGTGTGTGTGTGTTGAGTGGTTCACCTGTTAATTTATGAATTTTACTTCAGTGTGTTGTTAGTAATTAGGCCGTATTCAAGAACAGTCATGGAGTGTACGACGCCATTTACGTTTACCTTCTTGCCCTGATCTTGTTTCAGGAATACCACCTTTTCGAAGCTCTGGAGAGATCTCGAAGTTTCAATATTTTGAGTACAGCACTAGCTAATAATTCCCACCAGGAAACTCGCTTCGAGACTCCTCCAAAGCTTCGAAAAGTGCAGAGTTCCATGTGTTAAAGGCGATATTGCTGAAAAAAGACCAGGGCAAGAAGGTCATTGTAAATGGCGTCGTGCACCCCATTACTGTTCTTGATAGTATTAGACCCTTGAATGTAGTAATTGACCCCAGTTCGTTAATTTGTACTATTACACATTGTACGAACGAAGTAATTATTCTCTCTCTCTCTCTCTCTCTCTCATTTCCTTTTCTCAATCGTCCCTCCTTTTATTCTTTTACTTTCCTCCTCCCATTTTTTCTTCCCTTCCTGCCTCCCTGTTGTGCTGTCTCTCACAGGAGGTGGGCGTTAAATTCACGAGGGAAGGGCGGGAGTCAGGGGGAGGGAGGAGGGAGACGGAGAGAGAAGAATGGTGGAAGGGAGAGAGGAGGGGAAGGGAAGTAGGAAAATAGAAAGATGAAAGGAAAGAGAGAGGGATGGAAAGGAAAATAAAGAGGAGGAAGGAAGGAAGGGGTAAAGTGCAGGAGAAGGTAAAAAAAGGAGATAATAAATGAGAGAGAGAGTCAGAGGAGGCCGTGTTGCATGAGTGGTGTTACTGAACTATAAATCATTTAATTAAACGCACTTCAGTTCACCCTAATTTGGGGACCCCTTCATGTGTGTGTGTGTGTGAGCTCCCCCATTATTTAAGTACCCATGTGTGTGTTTAGTTAATGCTCTTTACACACGATTTTCCAGTTATTTTAAGCTGTAAATAACCTCAGAAAAAAAAACATAAAGCTATTTTCGTTTACTTGAAAGTGTCTGAACTTCCGGAGTGGTACTTTGTTCAATGTCCTCAGCACACGTAATATATTTTGAGTTAATTTTAGTCAGACAGTGAAGAAAAAAAAAACAATTCCTTACATTTGCACTCGTCAATATTTAATTTATCGATCTGGGTTTTTTTTTCACTAAAGTAATGTGTGTATTGTTGAGTGTGTCTTTGTTTATTGAGTGTGTCTTTGTTTATTGAGTGTGTCTCTCCTCACAGTGTAGTTTATTCAGTGTTATTTTCATCCACAGGGGTCATGAAGTGTGTGTGTGTGTGTGTGTGTGTGTGTGTGTGTGTGTGTGTGTGGTGTGTGTGTGTGTGTGTGTGTGTGTGTGTGTGTGCGCGTGCGTGTGTGTGTGTGTGTGTGTGTGTCCTAAATACCCCCACATAAGGTAGACAAGGTGAGGTTCAGGGGTGTATAGTTCACACCTGTATAAACTGAAGCTGTGGTCCCTGTAGAGTCACCTGGCGCCTCTGTGTTCTTCGACTCTTATAAGTGTGTGTCGACTCTTATGAGGTTACTGTCAAATAGCTGCTGATTTACATAAGTACGCCTTAACTCTAATAATTCATTGCCAACTTTATAAGTGTGTGTCAAGTTTACTTACCTACTTTTATATGTATGGCCCTGTTGATTACTACACTTTTGAGAAACTTTATTGTTATTTTTTTTATTTAGTTTTTTACACGGGCGTTGTCATACTTATTGCTTCACCCTGAGGATATAACTGGTGGCTACACTGACATACGTTAATATATAAAGTATATAGTGTAATACAGACACACTATTGTATTACTGTTATATATTTCTTGTATATTAACACACACTTACATACTGCTTTTCTATTAAAACCTATTTTTTTATATTCCAAATTATAATGAGAGGATTTCTATGGATAAGTTCGGCAGGTGAGCACAATGAACATCTTCGGTTGTACATGGAAGCAGAGTAACCACCACTGTACCTGACTGCTTTTATCTCCTCAACTGTATAGCTAGGTATTCCATTCTCCGGAGAGGTAACTAAATCGGAACTACACTCTAGTAGGATCTTCCACTTGATTAGTTGGAACGTACTCTTGTCTAGTACAACCTCCCCTTAACCAATAGGAACTTCCTATAACTAGTTGGACCTTCCTTTAACTAGTAGGAACTTCTTAACTAATAGAACCTACCGCTACTAATATAACTTGCCTTTTAACTAATAGAACCTACCTTTACTGATAGGACTTGCCTTTTAACTAATAGAGCCTACCCCTTTACTAATAGGACTTGCCTTTTAACTAATAGAACCTGCCCCTTGACTAATAGGACTTACCTCCTAACTAATAGAACCTTCTCCTTAAGTAACTTCTTATCAAACTCATTATCAGACCAGTTGTCGGTAATAATAAGAAAAGTTAAAAAGGTAGTCACCAAAAAGCCACTCTCAGAACCATGAACCCGAGATTCAGACTCTTGAATCCGAAGCATTTATGGACAGAATAATGTATAAGTGTCTCCTGCTTCGGGTTCACGAGTCTGAATCGTGGTTCGGACAGGACTTTTTGGGTGACTGTACTGCTGACTACAGATAGCAACACACACACTGCCATCCTGTATGTGGTAAGGACAAGCACTGGACAGACTCCACAAGTAAACTTTCTAAAATAATATTATTGAAATAAAATAAAATCACCTCGAAGCAGTTTAATATTTACTCGCAGCGTAAAAAAAATAATAGAATGATTTATTTTTGTTAATGAATGTGTAAAAATATCAAAAACGACCACCCCCAAAATGCATCAGCTGACGTGTGACGGTGTGAGACGCCATATGTGAAAACATACTGTCAGGTCGGGCGGGCGGTGGTTAATGTGTATATTTTCCCTCATTCTAGGCCTTGTGTTGATAATGTGGACCCTCGTATATGTGTTTATAGTGTCTGTGGATTTAGAAAACATAAGCAGGATGTTGTGACGTAGTGGTCAAGAGAAAATATCACGAGAGGTGTCTCTCTGACCATGAGTGACGGGAACTACCACACCTTCACGACCTTCCATGATCACTTGTTCCATAACTTTTGAACCAAATTAGGTAAATCCCACATCACCCACCTCGTGCTTGAATCTATAGTCGTTCCCACCCAAAGAAAAATAAGTAACATTGATTTTAAGGAAACAACAAGATGAAGGTGATTGTACCGAAGCAGTTTAAGTCGCCCGTAAGTGACACTAGTTCCTGTTGACTCAGCTGATGACTTGACACTGAAGAAGGTACAGTACACCTTGAGCATTGTTTTATATACTGTGTATGCATGTTGGCCACGCTACTTAACCGTCCCATTAAACCTTAAAACACCAGTGACTTTTTTGTAAAATAAGAGTAAGTTTTTGTTTTAGTGTTGTATCTTCTTGAAAATTAGTTCATCTTTATTGGTAAAATTTGCTCCTATTCATTTAAGTCGTCGTTCACTACCTTAACGTAACCAATATGCTGATACACGGTTAGGTTAGTAATGAGGACGTTCACTTGTTGTTTGTATTATAATTATCTACATGATCGTCCTGGTTTGGATTAAAAAGGAGACATGCGTATGAATTATTATCGTTATTGCTACTTATTAGCATGGCGCGCGCGCACACACACACGCTACCTTGCTGTGATACAATGATATGAATTATTAGAGATGTCACCTTCGTTGGTGAGCTCTAAGGTGACTCGAGAGGCCGTGAGCGTACTGGACACTGAGCTGCCTCAGCTGGTGACTAGTGTGAGGATGGGGAATGGTCCTGTAACTGGTGGTCGGGATGTTGTTGTCCATCTCCGTCTTCACATCCTTATACCATTGTTCGACCGCGTCGTCGATGTCATTGGGGCTGGCTTCTTCCAAGTTTCTCCCCTGCTTGAGACTGAGAGACTCCTAGAAGGAGTCCCAGTCTGCCCATTTGAGGTTTGACCTGATGTTGGCGGGGATCATAATGGGATTGGATGAGAGCGTCACGACGACTGGCAGGTGATCGCTGGTACTGATGGGTCCGGCGGTAACGTGCCTGTTCAGGACGGCCTCGTTGTTAGAGAGGATTATGTCGGGTGTTGTGGCACTGGCACGTCTGATCAATGTCGGGAAATCTGGCCCAAGGTGTTGCAGTTTTCCTCTTCTGATGATGTCATACAGCGCCACACCGACGTTGTTCTCATTACCGTGTCCTAGTATGGCGTGGCGCGCATTGGGACACGGTAATGAAGGCAACGTCGGTGTAACTGTATGCATCGAAGCGGACACGATAATGCCAGTCAGAACAGTGCATAAACGACCATTGTATCTGAGCCGCTCATGTGGATAGTTGCCACTACAGACTCCCGGCAGTCATCTCTGCTTGTCCCCGTCACCATTCGTCTGTCGCCATAGGTATTTTAGGGGTTTAGGGGTTTTGATAATGATGAGAAGTGTGATGAGCTGGATGATGGTTGCGCGTGAAATGATTTTTTGGTGAGGTAGAAGTGGAGGCTGCAATCACGCTTCTTGGCTCTCCCTTTTCCTGATCCAGTGGTGCAGGTAGCTGCAACGTCTGGGGAGAGGGAGAGTTGCAGTGGACTACCAATAGCCCAGTTTGTTGGGTTTCGCCTAAGTAACTTGTCCATCTTGCATTGCTTTCGTCCCCCGGTGTAGTCGTTGGGTGAAACTATCGACAAGTTTCTTTACGCCATTTTTCTCTGTCTACCCAACAGTAATTGGGAGCCTGGGTGTTAATCGATTTGCGGATCGTGCTCCGGGGTAATAATTAGCCAGTGCAGTTTTCGAGTTGTCCGGTCTTCTCGGATTATTCCTTGACACTGGGTCATGCAGCTCGTTAACATAGAGCGTGGTTGTTGTGTTGGTGACAGCTTCTAAGCCTTAAACAAATTCACGCCTTGGTGGCTATTGGGCCGGCCATCCTCGTTACACGAGGGGCAACCATTATTTTTTTTTATTAGTCGTTGGGTTCCCGTGTTAGTCACCTCTTCCGCCGTTGGGGTCTTGTTGGAGCTCTGTAAGCATGTCTGTCTGATGCGAGGCTCCACCGCAGATATTTCGTTTGGGGGTTTATACACGTAACCTTGTAACTATCAAGGCTAATCCGCAAGGCAGCAAAGTGGTTGGTAGGCGCCAGGACGTGTCCACATGCCAGTGGGCCTATGCACCGTCTCTCTGGGGCCCACTCCTGCTCCGAGTTCCCCTGCTGGTCTAGCCTGGGCCCACGAGGCACCCAATTACCGTGTGTTGCCACGAAGGGGCAGAGCAGGAGTCTTGATGGTGAAGAGAGTGTGTGCTGCCAGGGGAAGACTTATGCAAGTAACTTCCCTGTTCACCATAAGGACTAGCCAGCGGCGGTAGGTGAAAGCGAGAGGAAGCAAGCAGTGGTTGCACCAGAACACTAACATAATGCTGCCACACTAGACGCGCGCGCGCGCACACACACATGCTCGCGCGCGCGCACACACACACACACGCAAACGAGAACAGACAACAGTACTCACTTGGTCCTGGACGTGGTGATGTTCTTGTTGTAGAAGTAGCCGTGTCGGATGCCAATGAATCTCTCCACGGCCATGGTCGACACGAGGAGATGTGTCACCAAGCTGGTCAGCATCATGGCGAACGCGTGGAAGTTACACATTGAAAGCTGGTGAAGAAACGAGTATATATATATATATATATATATATATATATATATATATATATATATATATATATATATATATATATATATATATATATATACATACATACATACATACATACATACATACATACATACACGCCTGTATGTATGTGTGTGTGTGTGTGTTTGACGGGTAATGGGTGGGTCAGTAGTGACTCATGACTCTGACAGACAAGGAGACAAGGCAATGAAGGAGACCGTGTGAGGTGGAGACTGGATCATCCTGGAGGGGGTATTGGGGGGAAGGAAGGATGAGGAGGGAGGGAGGGTGAGCGGGAGGCCAAAGGGAAGGAGGGAGATGAGGTATAGTGTGGAGGGAATGGGAGGAGATGAAGAAGGGAATGAGAAAAGCGAGGCTCGGGGATAGGGGAAAGTAAGGAGTGTGAAGAAGATGGATGATGGAATAGAAGGAAAAGGCTGAGGCTAGAATGAGAGGAGGAGGCGAAGGAGGAAGAGAAGGAGGTCACACACGGAAAGAGTGAGAGGCGGGAGGGGGAGATAATAAAGAGGAAGATAACGACGAAGAGGAACCGATGATCATCACTCGGAGGTCATTCAGAGGTCATACATATATCACAAAAGAGGTCACGAGGCCACAGAAAAAAATTCGTAAGAAGTTAACTGAGGTGTGTGCTGGAGAGAGTGAGAGGCCAGGCAGGTGAGGTTATTTCCTTGAGCCACCATTAGGCTAACTACCAGCAGTTACCTTGTATTTATGAACGTCATCTTGCTGTCTTATCGCCCAGGCCTTAACGCCGTCATAGTAACGAGTAGCGGTTCCTCCCTTAATACTGGTGCTGGTCTGGCTGAGTTATTGTGGTCTGTCTCTACCTGTACCTGTGTTTGTCTCTACCTGTACCTGTGTTTGTCTCTACCTGTACCTGTGTTTGTCTCTACCTGTACCTGTGTGTCTGTCTCTACCTGTACCTACACATACCTGTGTTTGTCTCTACCTGTACCTGTGTCTGTCTCTACCTGTACCTGTGTTTGTCTCTACCTGTACCTGTGTCCGTCTCTACCTGTACCTGTCTCTACCTGTACCTGTGTCTGTCTCTACCTGTACCTGTCTCTACACCTTTTACTGTGTCTCTCTACCTGTACCTGTGTCTGTCTCTACCTGTACCTGTGTCTCTACTGTACCTGTCTCTGCCTGTACCTGTGTCTCTCTACCTGTACCTGTCTGTCTCTACCTGTACCTGTGTCCCGTCTCTACCACCTGTACCTGTCTCTACCTGTACCTGTGTCTGTCTCTACCTGTACCTGTCTCTACCTGTACCTGTGTCTCTCTACCTGTACCTGTGTCTGTCTCTACCTGTACCTGTGTCTGTCTCTACCTGTACCTGTCTCTACCTGTGTCTGTCTCTACCTGTACCTGTCTCTACCTGTACCTGTACTGTCTCTACCACATACCTGTCTCTACCTGTACCTGTCTCTACCTGTACCTGTGTCTGTCTCTACCTGTACCTGTGTCTGTCTCTACCTGCCTGTCTCACCTGTGTCTGCTGTCTCTACCTGTACCTGTCTGCTACCTGTACCTGCTCACCCCCACGACCTGTACCTGTCCACCTGACCTGTTGTCTCTACCTGTACCTGTCCTGTGCCTGTCTCTCACCTGTACCTGTGTCTGTCTCTACCTGTACCTGTGTCTGTCTCTACCTGTACACCTGTGTCCTGTCTCTACCTGTACCTGTCTCTACCTGTGTCCTGTCTCTACACTGCTTACCTGTCTCTACCTGTGCACCATGCCTGTGCCTGTCTCTACCTGTACCTGTGTCTGTCTCTACCTGTACCTGTCTCTACCTGTACCTGTCTCTACCTGTACCTGTGTCTGTCTCTACCTGTACCTGTCTCTACCTGTACCTGTGTCCGTCTCTACCTGTACCTGTGTTTGTCTCTACCTGTACCTGTCTCTACCTGTACCTGTCTCTACCTGTACCTGTGTCTGTCTCTACCTGTACCTGTCTCTACCTGTACCTGTGTCCGTCTCTACCTGTAGCTGGCTAGGTTAGGTTAGTTCGGTACGTTTTGTCTGTTTCAAAATGGTTTTGTCCGATTTATTGTGTTGCATTAATGGTGTCAATTGAGAAACTTTCGTATACTTGAGAAACATTGTGTTGCTGGGATTACCATACAATTGTTAATGGCGTTTGTTGTGTCGTTGTACCATTATTTAAAATAAAGTTACAACAGCGGAAGGGGTGCGGTGGTGGCCAAGTGGATATATCACTCGCCAACACTCCTTAAGGGTCGATGGTTCGAGTCCAGGGCACCTCTACCTCACCCGTTTATCAATTTGCACCTGCCTTTACAGTTGGGGAAGTGAAGGCGGTTGAGTGCAGTGCCGTTTACACAGCCTCTTTGTACACCTATAACCTAACCTAATCTAACCTCCACAACCCTAACCTAATTCTCCACTGCATTACAAAGAAAATTCAGATCCTGTTCGGGTTCCGGGTCTGAGCTACGCCTTTTGTGTATTTCATTTATGTCAGCCTTTGTTGTGAGACTGGCCGGAGTAGAGGTAGTAGTTGAGCTGTATCTCCCAGAACTGACGCAGATCAAAGGTTAAATTAGTATGAGTGTGTTAGTGAGTTCTTGGAGATAGAGAGAGATTAGTATTAGCGGGGGCTTCTTATTAGGTACAGATGTATTTGTTTTCAGCATGCAACGAGAAAAAGTGACACACACACACACACACACACACACACACACACACACACACAAGCGTTAAGTGGTCCCTATAGGTAATGTCCCGAGTAGAAGCTGCGGTGTTTAGCTCGTGTTAATACCTTGACTTAATGATAGTACAGACCCAAGAGAGCAGGTGGTTAGTGTCCAAGCACTGTGTCTTGGCTGTGTCGGTAACTCACGCTCCAGGGGGTGAGAGGAGAACCTTTCCTGGCCTAATGGAGCCCACATCTAATGGAGCCCACATCTAATGGAGCCCACATTAAAATGGATTCCACTCCTAATGGGGCTCACTGCTAATAGGTTTCAGTCCAAATAGCTTGAGACCTAATAGGTACAGAACTAATAGGTAAGAGACCTAATAGGCCCCAGTCCTAACCTAACCTAAACAGTAAGAGTAAGGCATATTGTTATTGGAAAACCATTAGACTCTAGACCCAATAGAACTGAATTCCATTTGACCAAACACCTTTGAAAGTGTGAATTTGCCCTAATGATCAGTGAATCGCGGAATAGTGCCTGATGTAGTGCCAAGTGCCTGGTCGACCGCTAGTCATTGTGCCAAACGAGTAGTAGACGCTTTCATAAGTTGAGAAAAAATGGAAGGAGTGTGTGTGTGTGTGTGTGTGAGGGGGTGAAATACTGTTGATAATACGGCTTCCTAGAAATTCCCGGTTAACATTAGGAACATGGAAAAATATCGCGGGGAGGATGTCGACTATTTTATTTTATTTATTTATTTGTGTATTTGTTTATTTGTTTATTTTTCGGTGTTTTTAAGGAGTCAAAATACAGTGATGGGGAGAGAGCAACAGATAGACATACAGAGAGAGAGACAGACACAATCATACAGACACAGACACACGGGCAGACAGTAACAGAGACTCAGAGAGAGAGAGAGAAAGATAAAGAAAGAGAACGAAAGTCCGTGTTATTTGTCCTTAACTTATCTTTTAACGTCTTCAGTCAGCGGCTTCCCACGGATAATCTTTTGAAAACTATCTCACGCTCTTCACGGCAGTAATGTACACAAACTCTCTCTCTCTCTCTCTCTCTCTCTCTCTCTCTCTCTCTCTCTCTCCAGCACCCAACGACATCCTCCGAGCAACAAGGAAGAGTCATTATCCCTTAAAATATCGGAATATAAATACGATAGATTAAATAATAAAGAACTGTAGTGACTTTTCCCATGCCCGTCCGTCAACTACTTGACTGCTTTGGTACTAACTGACCCTAATGAACAGATTATAGGCGTAGCAGTAGTAAAAGAGTAAACAGTAGCTACACTAAGACTACCCCTTGCGGTACCATATCCAACACCTCAACCCATAGATACTGACCCCTCCGACCCACTCGCCCTTGACGTAAGCTGCGAGAGCCGGTCCTGTTGTGATGATCTTGCCCACCAGGTCGGTCCAGATGAGGGTACTCAGCAGGACGAAGAACACGGTGCGGGAATGTGTTGGGCGTGTGGTCGTGTACAGGTAGTAGAGCGCCCAGATTTGTCCTGTGGGAGAGAAGAATGTCATACTCTTGAAAAGAGCGCACACACACACACACACACACACACACACACACACACTGGATAGATGACCAGCGCAACTTACCTGTTGCGCCTCTAAAGAATAAAACATCACTGAGGGGCAGAAGAGAGTCTCTGGATATGAGCTCCACCCAGAGTTAGCTGGTGCTGGAGGGTGTACAGGGATGTTCGTCTGTACACTGACTCAGGATCTGGTAATAAAACCCAAGGATTTCTCCTCACAATACTGGACAAGAGCCTTTGGTTGATTTGAACGCAAAGATATTTTTACTCACTCGTAAGTCCTCTGAGGAATAGATCAGACATACAATTGTGACTGAACTGGATAGAAAGATGCACCTATTTTATTTTCCACTAAGGAGTGGCGAGATTACAGCTCCAATAGAATAGATGGAAATATATTTATCTCCAGTCTAACACTGAGGATAGGAGACATTGTGGCGTCCTTTGGTGGAATAGCAAGAGCAGTGTAGTTGGTGTTATAATATGCTTCAACAACTAAGGTCTTTAAGCGCAGAACAGGAGCAGTAATTACAATAGTCCAGCAACAACTATAAATCATGGGAGACAAAGCTTTCTGTATAACACACTGCCTCTTACTCTTCCAGCTAGGATAGGGGATATAATGATGACCTTTTAACGACCTTTAGCCTGGATCGAGACTCACCTGCGACGCCGGTGAGGGAGAGTAGGATAGGTGAGATGATAGTGGCCCCGGGCTGGTTGTCCAGGGCTGTGCAGTTCACATTCTTCTCACACAGCACGGTGAGCAGCGTGTCCGCCATGCTGAAGTTTATGCTTTTGGCACAGTTACACAGCAGCTGACACACTCCTCCGCTCTCCTCCTTGGTCTCTTCCAGCCCCTCACCCACGGCTACCTCCGCCAACATCCTGCGACGGCACGCCCGCACCCGGCTCCTGTGGGGGGTAGATGGGGAGATTAGTGGACGATGTGGGTGGGGTGGTTGGGTAGGTGGTAGAGAGAGAGGGAGAAGTTAGTGGTGGGTGGTGGAGGGGTTGTTACGTCTAGTGGATGGTTAAGGAGAGAGGCAGCAGGTGGCTAGATGAAACACACACACACACGGTACAGCTGTTGGTCACACTTGTTGACATCACACACTTGATACAATGACCTTCACGCCTTCAGCGACAATAATCCTATAAAAAGAAACAGTTTTTTCCCGAGTAGTGTCAGCCCACCATGTTAATAATACTATACATTTAGGGTTTGAACCTTAGTAGTAATCCTCTGATAAAAAACAAAAATAATTGGTATCGATTATTCTTGTGTGTTTTTTTCAAGTATTTATCAGCCTTCGACACAACCAGTTTATCAATCCTCTAGATGTTTTTTCTCGTTTTTATATATATTTTTTTCACCGTTTTTTCATTTTTTTTCTTCTCTTTTTTCACAGTTTGAACACAACTCTGGGGATTTGTTTTTACTTGTTTAGCATTACTTTTTATTCCCAGTACTAACAACCCTCGACCCAACAACACTAAAGCTGTGAAAGTTAAGGATTGTATGTTTTTTTGTTTTTTTTTAGGAAATCAATGGGAGTAATGTCGGTAAACACGAGAGAGTGAGGTGCGTTGGACCTATAATATATGTAACGTGTATATATAGTGAGATACGTGTTAAAGCTTAGTTACCGAGTTGATTAACTGATTCACACTCTTTCCTACATTTTAATTTCGTCCTCCTCACACGTCGAGTTCAGGTAGACTCGTTACGGTCCGCCATTTTTGTGTCGTAACTTAAACGAGACTTTTCTATACATTCTCGTATATCCAATTACGAGAAAAATTAATTACGGTTTTATGAAAACTTTACCATTTGGGAATTTTCGCTCTAATATTACATCGTAACTTGTGTTATTTTTGTATAATTACGAAACGTATAAATTGATACAATATTCTTCTTAAAATTACAATTACATTAATATAGAGAATATATAATCACACGTGCACCTGTGACCAATCAGTGGGTATAAACAATAACTGGCACCTCTCAGGGATTAAGTTGCACATTAGGATATTATGTTGCTGATGTTGTGTGTTGCGTATGTTGAGCCTTCACGTTGTGCCTCACTGGCCCACATGTATGTTGATACGGTCACACTCACTCTCTCTCTCTCTCTCTGGTAATCACAGGTTCCATGCATATCAACGAGAGAGGCGGCAGGTAATCGTCAGTAATATATGCTAATGAGAGTAAATAATGATGCCGGTACCTGTGCTAATGCAAACAACGATAACAACATAAACAGACGATAATACGAAAGATGAAAATAAGTTGATAAGCAATAGAGAGAAGTGACTAGAAACAAGTTAATAGATGAAGAACTAGAAATTTTTAAAGTATAAGTAGAAATAATTAAAAAAAACTAGAAATGGAGTGGTAGAGAATAACTAGAAATAATTAGATAAATAGTAAATAGAAATAGGTCGATATTCTATAATGGTCCCTAACGCGTATATAGATAACGTGTTAGTGAGTAATATTAAAAAGTATAGGAGAATGTTACAGTGTAGTAGAGGAAGGTTACATAGTATCACATGATATTACCTACTGTTATAGCATGTTGTAGAGTATTACATGATCTTACCTACTGTTATAGCATGTTGTAGAGTATTACATGATCTTACCTACTGTTATAGCATGTTGTAGAGTATTACATGATATTACAGAGCATTACATAACATTATCAATATTATGGAATAGTGTAGTGTTACATAGGGCGAGAAGGTATCACTTGATATAGGGAGTATTACACAGTATTACAGGGGATATAAACATAGTATTTCAGGATATTTGAAATATAGACAATGATTTGGGGCTAGGCACCAACCCCAACCTAACCTAACCAGAGAGGTATATATTTACAGTACTGTATATTTTAGCAGACAGGTAGTAGTCAGCTACCAAACAGGGAGGTACTACCGCCTGGGAAGATATTGGAAGCATAATGTGTTGTCTAATGGTAGACACACTCTCTCTCGCGCGCAATATAATCAGACCAATCCTCCCCTCTTCCTCCCCGTCTCCCCCTCTTCCCCATCTGCCCCCTCTTCCCCCCTGCCTCCTCTTCCCCCCCTCCCCTCCCCCTGGACCAAACAGACCATATACCTGGGAGTATTTTCGGATTATTTTTTCTTCTCTGGCCATTATCAAAATCGGGTCACACGTCACTCCCCGAGATCCTTTTGGTTATCGTCGAGGAGGTGGCCGCCTGGGTGTGTGTATTTGGTGACCCGTAATGTGACATTTATAACATTTGCGATGTGGGGGACTTGAGGAAAACAGACAGACAGACAAACGTATCTCTAAAGTCTGAACACCCGTGAGTGAGACAGATTTAACAAGGCGGTCGCGGGTACCGACTAATGGACAGACATGGCTTTAAACAGCCTGGGTGAGAGGGAAGGAAGAACATCATCACCAGCTGAGTTTGTTTACGTTCGTCTGTGTGTATCTGAATCCGGATTTACAAAGGTTGATGTTTTTTTTTTATGATTTGTTCCCTTTAAATTAGTCTTTGTGTAGTTTCGACGGTATTTTTACTGCCAGCTTAGTGACTTAAATTTAATTTGAGTCGATTAGATACCTCACACCTCTAGTTAAATGGTAAAATTAACTATACGGGGCTTTTCAAAAACCATCATTGCGCGTAGCTTCAGGGAGCCAGTTGGATGTCCTCTCGTATCTAGTTAAAAGGGGAAATTAACACAAGAACGTTCATTATTTATTTAAGATGAAAATATAATGTACCAAGTGTTGGAAAATCCCTCTGAACCGTAACTTAAATGGGATCACCTGAAGATAAGCCACCCCAGTTCATTTCACCTTATAATTAAACACCCTAACGCTACCTGGGAGATTAGGTTAAGTTAGGTTAGGTTACCGTTAGATTAGGTTGGGTTAGATTAGGTTGGGTTAGATTAGGTTTGCGTTAAGTTGGGTTAGATTAGGTTAGCGTTAGGTTACGTCATCGTTAGGGTAGTTCATCTTAAGGTGAAATAAGTTGGGGCGTTAATCTTCAGGTGAAATAAGTTGGGGTGTTAATCTTCAGGTGATCCCTTAAGTAAATCAGTTAGAGGTATGCTCATGTCTTCACTTAAAGAGGAAAATTTACCCCGTGACTTGACTCTTATCTCTGAATAGATGTTTGGAAGTAAAGTTCAGATTAAACCGGAGTCGACATTAAGATGACCAGGTGTAAACACATCCACGGGGTGAAGAATTTTGGGTAGGATTTACGAGATAGATAGATAGATAGATAGAACAAAGAGGGGTGAGATAGAGCCAGACAGAAGAGGAGAGAGAAGAAAAAGCCAGTGAGAGAGAGAGAGAGAGAGAGAGAGAGAGAGAGAGAGAGAGAGAGAGAGAGAGAGAGAGAGAGAGAGAGAGAGAGAGAGAGAGAGAGAGGACCCATCCATCAGCTAGTTATCTAAATATTAACATCAGTCATAGTTTATTTTAGTCCCTTAGGCTACCTGGCCATTACCTTATTCTACCTGGCCAATTACCTTTACCTGGCCATAGCTAAACCTCCTACCTGGCCAATTACCATAAACCTTACCTGGCCAGTGGCTTTATAATACCTGGCCTCCCTAAGTATTACCAAATAAAACACCTCCCTAGGTTACCTTACCAATAAACCTCCCTACCTGGCCAATTACCTTTATAAACCTCCCTACCTGGCCAATTACCTTATAAACCTCCTACCTGGCCAATTACCTTTATAAACCTCCCTACCTGGCCCCTTTATAAACCTCCCTACCTGGCCAATTACCTTTATAAACCTCCCTACCTGGCCAATTATTAAACCTCCCTAGCCAACCTTACCTTTATAAACCTCCCTACCTGCTGGAGCCCTAGTGGCCTTCTTTATAAACCTCCCTACCTGGCCATTACCTTTGTTACTTTTAAACCAACCCATCTAGTCAGTCACCTTTATAATTCAACCCCACCTGGTCTGTTTATAGAGGTCATCATCTTTAATTGCTATGAGAGAGAGAGAGAGAGAGAGAGAGATTATAACAAAACCAACATTAAATTTTCCTCTCATGGACCTCCTCTCCTCCTCAACCCTCCCTCCCTCCCTCAACCATCCTCCCTCCTCCCTCCCTCAACCATCACTCCCTCAACCATCACTCCCTCCTCAACCATCACCTCCTCTCCTCCCTCCTCCCTCCCTCAACCATCCTCCCTCCTCCCTCCCTCCTCAACCATCACCTCCCTCCCTCCCTCAACCATCACTCCCTCCCTCCCTCAACCATCCCTCCTCCATCCCTCCTCCCTCAACCATCACCTCCCTCCCCCCTCCCTCCCTCCTCCCTCCCTCCTCCCTCAACCTCACCTCCTCAACCTCCTCCGTCCCTCCCTCAACCATCACTCCCTCCTCAACCATCACTCCCTCCCTCCCCCAACCATCCTCCCTCCATCCCTCCCCAACCATCACCCTCCCTCCCTCCCTCAACCATCACTCCTCCCTCCCTCTTCCCCCTCCTCCCTCCATCAACCATCACTCCTCCTCAACCATCACTCCTTCCGTCCCTCCATCATCACTCCCTCCCTCAACCATCACTCCCTCCTTCCCTCAACCATCACTCGCTCCCTCCCTCCCTCAACCATCACTCCTTCCTCAACCATCACTCCTTCCGTCCCTCCATCAACCATCACTCCCTCCTCTCCCTCCCCTCCCTCCTCCTCCTCAACCATCATCCCCTCCCTCCTCCTCCCTCAACCATCCCTCCCTCAACCATCACTCCCTCAACCATCACTCCCTCTCTCTCAACTCTTACAACTTGAAGGCAGAAATAGACCAAATAATTGAACAAGTCGACGTGCATCATATTTTTCACAACTGACATGAATGTAGTGACAGTTTTAATTAGTGGAGCTGCCCAGGTGT